GCTAACTTTCCAATCTTGATGCAAAAGAGATTTCAATTGAGCTTCGATTGTAGGAATTCAGCTTAGTAGGCTTAGTAGGTGATGTGGTGGATTGAAAAGAATGCATGTGTAAAATTATTGTATACAGATGGAAGAGAAGTTATGTAGAGGGAAAATGAAAGGGTGGTTAATTAATTGATCGATCCTTAAGTCGTCTATTCAATTATATAAGTTATGGAATCTTACGAGTATAAATATTGAATCTTATTATTTTGACAATATATAATATTAATCATAGATAATTGGCATAATCGGGATTATCAAAATTTAAGAGAGCAAAAAGGCAATCAAAAGTTTTGACACCTCAATCCATGTTGAAGACCTAATAAAATTCAGAACCAAATGCATGTTACAATAGTCTTGACTCAATATTGGATTGGAATCTTTCTCTTTATTCCCCAACTGAAACACCAAAAAGAAAATAGAAGGTTTGACTAAATATTCTTTCTCAGGATAAAATCCTTGCGTATTTAATTTAAGAAATGATTTGCAATTAGCCATTTTATTACAATTGAGAAGGACGGATCACACTTTTTTTTTGTTTGTAGTTGCAACAACAATACAATTTTTATAGTACTCCACTTAACATTACTTAAAATATTAAATTACTACAACCAAAACAAAATATCATCACAACCAACAACTAGAGTGATATTGGGACTTCTATCTATCTATAAGACTATATTTTCCCACTGGTTTGAATTTAGGAGATGAAGGAAGAATTTTTCTTTCTTTCGGCCCCTTTTCTTCCTTATTTATTTACTCAATAATTTTTTTCCCCTTAACCCCCTCAGGAAAAAAAAGATGACCAACATCAATTAACGTTACGCTTCTTCAACGGCTACTTTTATCCAGCTAATGTTCCAAGCTGCGGCCAGCAAAGGAATCCCCAACGTTCAACTCCCCATTTGACTAGTCACTCAAAAACACGAAACAGCATAAAAAGGAACATGAAAAGGACACGTCACCTAATAGAAACGTCCATGATAATATACAGTCAACAATGCTGTTTCGTGTTTTGAAATGGGGATGGGATTCGCGTCGTTGTCAGATGGTGGCATGTTGACAAAGAGGGCCACTCACGCTGTTGCAACACGCGACTCCCAGTGCTCTGACTCTCGCGACTGCTCCCGTCGCTCTCGCTTCGCGTGCCGCTCAGCGGAACAGTTTACTTATCCTGCTACAGCGGTGAAGGATGTAAGAGAAATTCTTGTAAAGTATCCCATATGATTAACCGATAATATGTAGCTTCATTTATGCAATTTTGGCATTGGAATGATTCCATGAAGGTTAATAGAAGAGAACTTAATTTTGGACCTAAAGTTATACATTTAATAAAGAGACAAGTGATCTGTTTCTATGGTAGTAATAATCTTTGTTGGAATCCCCAAAGCATGATACGTGCCAACTTATACTTTTGTTGGTCCCAAGAATTTTAGATCCAAAAAAGAAATGCTCTTTATTAGAATACAAGAGATTTTTGCCTGCGAGATGTTTGGGTATAACAATATTTAGTTATAAATATTATGCTATTATGAGAGATTTATCTTATAATTACTAGATTGCAATGTGTGTCAATTTTTGTATTTCGTTCAATACGAATTCGTGCCCGAAAAATTCTGGTTTCCATGGTACGTTAGAGTTGTGGTGTGATAAGGAAGAGAGTTGTTCGATAAGCGCAAAATAGGAGACGTTTAGATATTAGTGTGTTAATCTAAGGATCATTCTCTTTTTACCCCCACCATATCATTAAAGACCATAGTCAGTTATATAGTTTTTTATTTTTTTCAATCAATTCGCACATATACAAAATTGAACTTATGGCTTCCACACCTTAGTGCATCCATCATGAATACAATTAATGCACTATATCTATGTCCATGACATTAAACGTGTACAAATAGGTATAAACTTTTAAATCATTGAATTTAAAGATTTATATATGAGTCTAATGATCGATATTACCTTAATGCCCATTCAATACCATAAAACAGGTTTTAGGTTTATGTTCATTCGACGTTGTCTCGAGACTCAAAAGTCAATTAATTCATTATAAGGGGTCTATTAAATACTCTCCCCAAACCTCTTCCCAGCCCCTAAATGAGTTCACGCGAAACATCATAACCACCACCGCACGGTATATAAGCCCCTCCCGTCAAACGGTCCAAAAGAAACAAAGGAAACAAAAAAAAAAAAAAGACGCACAAATCAGAAAATAGAAAAAAAAAATCAAAATCGTAACTTTTTTCTTCAATGTCTTGCTCCGTTGCGATCGCGGCGAGCTCGCCGGCGTCGACCTTCTCCCCTTCTCACCACCGCCTCCCTCTCACGTGCAAGACCAACTCCCCCGAAACCCTAACCCTAGCGTCCCCTTCCTCCCCGTCGCCCATCAAATCCCCCTTCAAGTCCTCTCGATTCAACCGCGGCCCCAGCGTCCTCTTCAAGTCCTCGCCGTCTCCAACGCCGCCGTCCCCGTCGCCGTCGCCGAATTGTTCGTCGGCGAACGGTTCGGGGCCGCCTTTAAAGCGGAAAAGGCCGGCGAGGATCGATATCCCGATGATGGATGCTTTGAACTTCGTGCCGATTGGATCGGATGGTCGGAAGGAGGTTGAGATGGATGGCGCGAGGTGTTCAGTTTATTGTAAGAGGGGGAGGAAGAGGTTGGAGATGGAGGATCGGTTCAAGGCTGACCTAGATGTCGACGGAGATCCCCAGTTGGTAATTTTCCCTTCAACTTTTATTTGTATTTTATAAGAAGTTTAATAAAAATTTGAAATTTCCCTAAATATATTGTGATTTCTGTATTCAAAGTGGGATTTTTACAAGTAAATACAATTTTTTTTGGAAAATTGGAAGTGGTGAATAATTGAATGTCTGTGAAGGGTGGACTTTTTTTTAAACCGTTGTAGTCATCTCAAATTTGTAGCGTCTGATAGTTGAACGCCTGTGAAAGATCGGATTTTTACAATCGGAGTCATCTGATATTAATTTTACAATTGGGATGTCCGTTGATCTTTTTAGAAGTTGGAATTTTACAATTTTGCATATTATTCTTTAAAATAACGACTTGGATTTCTCTTTTCAGGCTTTCTTTGGCATTTTTGATGGCCATGGAGGTACCCAAGCTGCAGAATTCGCCTCCAAAAACATGGGGAAGAACATTATATCTGAAGTGATGAGGGAAGAAGGGGACATAGAAAAGGCAGTTGCCGATGGATATGCGAAGACTGATTCAGAGTTCTTGAAGCAAGAAGCTTTAAGTGGATCTTGCTGTGTCACTGCTTTCGTAAAGAAGGGTGATCTTGTTGTCTCCAATGCTGGTGATTGCCGAGCTGTTTTGAGTGTTTCAGGTGCTGCTGAGGCCCTCACTTCTGATCACAGGCCATCGAGAGATGATGAAAGAGAAAGAATCGAGAGCCTCGTAAGTGGACTTGCCTTGTTAGACATAAAAATACTTGTGCGCATGCTTGCTCAGAAAGTTAGTTTGTCGCTAGATTTAGGGGGCTCTTTTTAATGGGAAATTAACGAAATTTTAAGAGAAGTGTGACTATATTTGCGGTGAGAGTTGTGCATAAATTTTTCCTGTGGAAATCACCTTACCTGCATTGTTCATATTTCACAGAAATGTATTAACTTGAAATTGAATGATAGAGAAAAGTTTAGTTACTGATATGTATGTTGATTGAAATGCAAATTAATTCTATAGCTAGATCGCTGGGCTCTTTCGAATGAAAGTTGAAGAGAATAATAACATATTAGCAATGTTGATTATTTATTAATTTTTTATTTAAATGAATGTGTATCTAAAGGTGATATCAACGATGTGCAGGGTGGCTTTGTTGATTTTGCCAGAGGATTGTGGAGATTGCAAGGCACCCTAGCTGTTTCAAGAGGAATTGGGGATTCACATCTAAAGCAATGGGTTGTGCCAAACCCAGAAACAAGAATCCTTACAATTAAACCTGAATTCGAGTTCTTAGTTCTTGCCTCTGATGGATTATGGGATAAGGTGAGTCTTCAGCTCTAAAACTCTGGATTGCTTTACGTATATAAGCATTGAGTGGAGATATGACATTGTTCTCTCCTCTTAAACTTTCCAGGTTAGCAACCAGGAGGCCGTAGATACAGCTCGACCCTTGTGCATAGATTCTCAAAGTTCGTCGCTACTTTCTGCTTGCAAGAAACTTGCTGATCTCTCTGCTAGTCGAGGCTCTAATGATGATATCAGTGTAATGATAATTCAATTGAAGCATTTCGTTTGAAGGCGTAAATCACGGCATTCTCAGAATAAAATGATGACAAATAGTATGATTTTCAGAATAATATAAATTACTTCCCCGCAAGTGCTTTTTTTTGTTGAACTTGCGGTTCGTTCATAAATAGATTTTCTCAGCTCTTTTTCACAGATTTTGTTTAGGGATGATACTATTTACTGACTTCTCCTATCAAGCAGACAGTGTTTAGTCTATAAGCTGCTTTTGGCTGTAATACTTTCTCATTTTGATTAATAAGAGAAATTCATATAAATCTTTTTTTACTCTTATCGTGTTTTGTCTTTGATGTTCAAGTGAAAAATGCATGTCAGTTCACCAGTAAATTGCAGTAAGGCTGAAGTTTTGTCTTGGGGGTTTATTTTTTTCCCGAACGAATTGGCTTATGAGCTAGCTTTCACGTGTACAAAACTGCTTCTAAATAAGCTAGATATAACTAACAAAAGACCATTGTATCCATGATGTTTTTCTAAAATTCCTAATTTACTCCCCCTTTACTACTGGATCTGACCTGTCCAAATATGTAACTGACTTATCAGCGAAGCTTTAAAACAAATCCCCCAAACACGCTTAAGTCAGCTGTGCGGTCTGAAGTCAGATAACATGAAATTGTGTGGATTAATGGCATACGTTAGACATATATACGTGGCTGTCATTGAAGCGATTATTATAGTTTGGAGGAAGGTTCCCGTGTTCAAATAATGAAGGGGACGCTTATTTTATAACGTGTTAAATAAATGAAAGACTTTGATTCCATTTCACATATAAGAGAGAGCTGGAGACTTGGTCAAATATGGCCCCACCCTATATGAATCTGACTTCTGGTCTCTGTTCTTTGCGAAAATATAAAATTTTAGAAAATTTTAAGATGGTACAGCCTTTCTTTTTTCTTATAGAATTTGATACGTGTTGTACTCGCAAAGGGAAGGCTCAGATGAATCCGAACAATATGGCTTTTGACCAAAATTTCATGTTTTATTAGATATATAGGTGAAAGCATCTTCAAATTTCATTAAGGGTGCCTTTGAAAACTTTGATTTGGATTTGAGAAGTTGATTTAAAATCAAGGGATTTTAAATTGAGGATTTGAAATCCATGATTTAAGAAATCTTTTGTTTGGATATCTTTATTAAATGAAAGTATTTAAAATAAGAGCAATATACTAGCAATGAGATATATAATAAAATATATGCAATGATATATAAACTAACACAAGGGTGAAATAAACAATCTACAAATGTGATAGGGCAATAGTCAATGGCGATAAGAATGAATAAATACTAAGCACATATAGAACGCCAAAGCAAACTCAAACACAAGCAAATGATTACGGAGTTCAGACCTTCCGTCCTACGTCTCCGTTTCCCACTCCCGAGGAGAAATCCACTATCACAATCGGGTTTTCTACGATCACCCGAATAACGTTTACACCACACAATACCACAATGTAACTATACTCCACACCCTCTTAAGTGTTGGTCTCTCCGTGTCCTTCCTCAAGTGCTCGGATACAACCTCTCCCTAGGTTCGTCAACCGACGCAACTCCTCTTGGAAGCAACCCCGACTCTCATCACACACTCCTCTCGGTGTACTAGTGTAATACAAAGTGAATCTCATAATTAAGCACAATACAAAGTATTTGTTCTCTATAATGGATGAGAACGAATTATAAGCTCACTCTCTAGGTTACACAATCCCACAACCCAATTATACTATGAATATAAATACAATAAGCTCAAAGGTTGTGTGTGTAAGCAAAGAAAAATAAATTAAAAAACTAAACTCAATATAATTCTAGCTTAATAACAATGATAATCAAATATATATAAAAGAGCTAGAAATAGAGTTTAGAAAACTTCTCAATAGATCAAGAGATTGAGGGAGGATGGTTAGATGCTTAAACACCAATAGATAATCTCCTCAAGCTCTTGTGAAATTGATTTCCCAAAATTAAACTCTCAAATGCTTAAAAGCTTTTTAAATACACTTAAACAAAAACTTAAACCCTTGATGAAACTCTTTTAAACTTGGTTTAAAACCCTCTCTTAGTTATCTAAAGTGGTTATAACAAAGGGGTATATATAGGCTTAAAGAAAACAATTCAAAAAACCTCAAAAACCCATTAAAAAACAAAAAAACAGATGTTAATGTTACTGTGCAACGGTCGACTACTACAGTAATGGCGGCCGACCATACTGTAGCATGGTCGACCGCACTGTTCACAGACAGTTTTTGTTTTTGACAGATTCTGGAATTTTACGTATCTGACTTTGTAAAATCAATTAAAAATAGTAAATCAATTCCAAAAATCATGAAATTTTGAGGGAAGGTTCTAGACATGTAGATAAACATGTTAAAGAAAGAATTTCTAAAATATCACTTCCCAGTTGAGAGAAATAAATATTTGAACATAGATATACAGTTTCTGGAAAAAAAAACTGCTGAAAACTCGGTTTTGTAAATTCAATTGAAAATAACAAAACAACTCCAAAATTAGTAAAACTTGGGGAAATGTTTGTATATATGATGATAAACATATAAATGAAGAAAAATTTCAAATCGCATTTCCCAATTGTGAAAACACATCAGTTTTGTAAAAACATGCACGAACATGTGCACGAACATGAGCTTATTAAAAACTTAATTTTGTAAATTCAAACAAACATAAAAAATTAATTCTAAAATTGATAAAACTTTGGAAAATATTTATAAACATGAAATTGAACATGTTAGAAAAAGAATTTCTCAAATTAAATTTCCCATTTGTGAAAACCCATGTATTTTGCAAGTGTGTCCAAAACATGAAAATGTGATATATATGAAATTTAATGTTTTGACATAAACAATATTTTGAAACCCTATGCAATGATTTTATAAACTTAATAAAACATGTATACAATGATTGCTAAATCCATAAACCAAAACTTGTGTATATATATAACTATATATATAAAAACTAAATATGTGTGTGTATATATGATTGAGCTTAAAGTACTAACACACATAATATAAAACCTAAACTAAATATACTCAAGCTTGATTGATCTTCGATGTAGCTCAAATTGGTACACTTGCGGATGAAGCTAAAACTTGAATCTTTAACTTTGAATTGCGTAGGCTTCACTCCACGATTCCACCAACCTCCATTGGATATGATCGTGAATGCACAATTCCATCTATCCTCCAACATAGTGTTTGTCTACAATAAATAAGAAAACACAAATACTAGACAAACAATATTAGATGTAAATTGTTTGTAAATCATCATCAAAACAAGAAAGCCAACAATCCCCCATTTTGATGATGACAAACAATTTACAAAAAGGATATATGCATGAAAGGAAATGAATATACAAAGTATAATATATCATGCGTATAAACAAGAAAGAATATACTCATAATATTTCTCCCCCTTTGACAACATCAAAAAGGAAAAAACAAAAGAATGAAGAGAGCGAAAGCTCCCTCTACAAATAAGCATGAGTGAGTATAAAACAAATATAGGGATTGCTCCCCCTATCAAAATGTCATATGGAGTATATGAAATAAAGACCAAGGCAAAACATGTGAGCAAGCATAGATGCAAAATATGTTAAATGTTACTCACATGCAAGAGGACAATGAGAACACATATAGATATATCATTTATGAAAGAAGTGTCTCATTACACAACTATAAAAACATAGTGTATAAAAATAGATTTATGAAATCAAAAGAGGAACATGAGAATCATGCAAAAAGTTTTCCAATGAAAACAAATCAACCAAATAAAATCATAAATCAAGATTTAAGTCCAAGAACAATGTTTGATCAATAAAGAAAACTTTCTTTGTAGAACTTGATCAAACCACATATAGAATGCATTATAAGGCACAAATAGATGATCTATAAGCACAAACACATAAATATCATCATATAAGTGAAATATAATGAATTCAAAGCAACAAATCAAAACAAAATTTTTGATAAAAAAATGCAAGAGAGGTAACAATATATCAAGCTCTTAAGCTTGTTCCAACCCATATAAAGATTATTAGTACCCGGTAAACAGGATTTAGGAATAAACACCCAATAAACCCGGGGAGTTATATAGACACAAACCTCTCATCAAAACAAAACCAATAATCATGAAAACAAAAGAATTTGATCAATAAAACGAATTGTTTTCATGTTCAAAAAATTAAAATATAATTTTCAAAACCAAGAAAAGGAAAAAGAAAAACACTAAAACTTGGTTTAAAAATCAAATTTGTTTTGGCACCCAAGAATTCTTGGTACCAAGAGATTTAGGGACATGACCCCTATCTTTTAAGCTCAAATCCCTAGGGTTATGAACCCTCTTGGGTGCATGTAGTACACTAACACGGTCAAAGCAATAATCACTCAAATGACCCTTCCGATTGTAATATGTGCAATGAAATAGATCCATTTGTTTTTGTGGACCATTAGCTCGTGCACGAGTAACATTTACAAACATAGATGATCTTTTAAGATTATTTTGCAAATGTGAAATATTTTGAAACAACGTTGGAATACTTGAAATATTTTGCGATTTAGAAACTTTTCGCAAATCAAAACAAAACTTAGCTAAGTGACCAACTCTACCACAAAAATCATAATGATACACATTAGCATGCTTATGATGAACTTTGTGAGAATGAGCATGTGAAAGTGTATGTGTATAAGATGATGAAGCTAGATGGGATGCACTAGGAGTATTAGCAATCTTAGGTTTGTGTGCATCATAGCAAAATTTAGCAAGGTGGTCTTTACGACCACAAATTGAGCATTTGTAAACTTTGCTATACAAGTGTGCAAAGTGTGTGTTTGATTTAGAAGTGTTAACACGGGACTTTACACACAAGTCCATAAGCTTTTTTTTATTTACCATACATGTTTTTAAGGTTGAATCTAAACAAGATATGCGATGTTTAACTTGACTCAACTCATCATTTTGCATACATGTATTGGAAATAGAAATAGATGAAATATGATCATATTTAAATGAATTAAACTCATTTCTAATTGTTTCTACTTCTATCATGGCATTAATATTAGCATGAGTTAAGCTAGAAAAGGATGATGTCAATTTTTTATTTTTGAATTTTAACATATCATTATTATCTTTAAGCATCATATTTTCTTTTTCAATGATATCAAAATTGGAAGCTAACTTCTCATGATCGGATTTCAAAATGACATGCTTGCTTTTCAATTCAATAAAATTATTTTGTAATTTTGTATAGGCATGTAATAATCTCTCATATGCACAAGCGAGTTCATTAATAGATAGATCATTATCGGAATCGGAATCGCTTACTACACAAGAGTTATCCTCTTGTGCCTGTGTGCATGATGCTATACATGAACTTGAAGAAGAATCCTCTAAAGCTTGTCGGATTGCCTCCAAATCCCCTTGATAAGCTTCAATAAATTTCTAAAGTTTGTAAGCACTATCAAAATGAACAAATTTGTTAGAAAAGGATGAGTCAAAAGCATTAAGCAAAAATTCTAACAAAAGTTTGTTCATTGTAAACATTTTATTTTCATGATCGTTCCACTTGGATTTCTCCAATGTGGGCACAATGTAAGCACAATCAATAACTTCCCATAAGTCAATATTTTTAAATTGCACAAATAGTTTAAATCTAGAAGCCCATTGTGCATAGGGAAAATTAATGAATTTAGGAGCAACATTTAATTCATAGCCTAAACGAAATGCACCAATATTCATGATATATATGTGAATATATGCAAGCAAGACAAATGCAATCATAACTAGATTAGCATAAAAAGATAACTTGGATCTTTAACTCAAGACGATTAGACCTTAAATCAAAGAGCACCAAGTTCTAATATCAACTGTTAGACCCTAGAGGGGGGGGTGTGATTAGGGTCTTATGCTAATCTAATCCGATTTTATGCTAATTAAAATTATATTGATTAATTTGATCTTGCAAGAGATATATGAGATAGATATGAACAAGAATGAGCAATATAACCAAAGAGCAATATCCTAGCAATGAGATATATAATGAAATATATACAAGGATATATAAACTAACACAAGGGTAAAATAAACAATCTACAAATGTGATAGGGCAATAGTCAATGGCAATAAGAATGAATAAATACTAAGCACAAATAGAGTGCCAAAGCAAACTCAAACACAAGCAAATGATTACAGAGTTCGGATCTTCCGTCCTACGTCTCCGCTCCCCACTCCCGAGGAAAAATCCACTATCACAACCGGGTTTTCTACAATCACCCGAATAACGTTTACACTACACAATACCACAATGTAACTACACTCCACACCCTCTAAGTGTTGGTCTCTCCGTGTCCTTCCTCAAGTGCTCGGATACAACCTCTCCCTAGGTTCGTCAACCGACGCAACTCCTCTTGGAAGTAACCCCGACTCTCATCACACACTCCTCTCGGTGTACTAGTGTAATACAAAGTGAATCTCACAATTAAGCACAATACAAAGTATTTGTTCTCTACAATGGATGAGAACGAATTATAAGCTCACTCTCTAGGTTACACAATCCCACAACCCAATTATACTATGAATGTAAATACAATAAGCTCAAAAGTTGTGTGTGTAAGCAAAGAGAAATAAATTAAAAAACTAAACTCAATACTATTCTAGCTTAATAACAATGATAATCAAATATATATAAAAGAGTTAGAAATAGAGTTTAGAAAACTTCTCAATAGATCAAGAGATTGAGGAAGGATGGTTGGATGCTCAAACACCAATAGATAATCTCCTCAAACTCTTGTGAAATTGATTTCCTAAAATTAAACTCTCAAATGATTAAAAGCTTTTTAAATATACTTAAAAAAACTTAAATCCTTGATGAAACTCTTTTAAACTTGGTTTAAAACCCTCTCTTAGCTATCTAAAATAGTTATGACAAAGGGGTATGGATAGGCTTGAAGAAAGCAACTCAAAAAACCTCAAAAACCCATTAAAAAACAAAAAAACAGATGTTATCATTACTGTGCAACGGTAGACTGCTACAGTAACAGCGGGCGACCGTACTGTAGCGTGGTCGACCGCACTGTTCACAGACCGTTTCTGTTTTTGACAGATTCTGGAATTTTGCGTATCTGACTTTGTAAAATCAATTAAAAATAGTAAATCAATTTCAAAAATCATAAAATTTTTAGGGAAGGTTCTAGACATGTATATAAACAGTTAGTGAAAGAATTTATGAAATATCACTTCCCAGTTGAGATAAATAAATGTTTTAACATAGATATACAGTTTCTGAAAAAAACTGCTGAAAACTCGGTTTTGTAAATTCAATTGAAAATAACAAAACAACTCCAAAATTAGTAAAACTTGGGAAAATATTTGTATATATGATGATAAACATGTAAATAAAGAAAATTTTCAAATCGCATTTCCCAATTGTGAAAACGCATCAGTTTTGCAAAAACATGCACGAACATGTGCACGAACATGAGCTTATTAAAAACTTGATTTTGTAAATTCAAACAAACATAACAAATTAATTTTAAAATTGATAAAACTTTGAAAAACATTTATAAACATGAAATTGAACATGTTAGAAAAATAATTTCTCAAATTAAATTTCCCATTTGTGGAAAACATTTATAAACATGAAATTGAACATGTTAGAAAAATAATTTCTCAAATTAAATTTCCCATTTGTGAAAACTCATGTATTTTGCAAGTGTGTCCAAAACATGAAAATGTGATATACATGAAATTTGATGTTTTGACATAAACAATATTTTGAAACCCTATGGAATGATTTTATAGACTTAATGAAATATGCATACAATGATTGTTAAATCCATAAACCAAAACTTGTGTATATATATAACTATATATATAAAAACTAAATATGTGTGTGGATATATGATTGAGCTTAAAGTACTAACACACATAATATAAAACCTAAACTAAATATACCCAAGCTTGATTGATCTTTGATGTAGCTCAAATTGGTACACTTATGGATGAAGCTAAAACTTGAATCTTTAACTTTGAATTGCGTAGGCTCCACTCCACGATTCAGCCAACCTCTATTGGATATGATCATGAATGTGCAATTCCATCCATCCTCCAACATATTATTTGTCTATAATAAATAAGAAAACACAAATACTAGACAAACAATATTAGATGTAAATTATTTATAAATCATCATCAAAACAAGAAGGCCAACAATATAGATATGTAAAATAGTAACAAAGAAACACAAATTTAGCTAATACATTACCATTGCATATTTCATAGATATCCAGGCTAGAAAACACTTGAGGCTTGTTTCATATTTCACACATATGCAAAGTAATAATAAGTTAACTTCAGAGCAAATAAGTAACAATTTCATTATCTTCTCAAATGCAGGTACGACTGACAATTATATAGTCACTTTGGTCTTTGATATACCAAGAGAAATGTTAATAAGAAAAAAAATACAAAGAGTTGCAAACTGAATAGCATGTGAGAAGAGAAGTATCTTCAATATAAAGAAATTCCAACTGAGAATTCAGAAGTGCTCATATGATAAAGCCTATCCGTAGCAACAAAAGAGTAATTCATATGCCATCACTATATGAGCCCAAAACCTGCAAAGAAAATGAGCAGATCGATAATTTTTTTAATCAAGCTAACAAGCTAACAAATTAAACCAAAATGTCGGATAAGTGAGACCTGTGAGAGTATTGGTTAGGGAAATCAATACACTAGATGATACACAACCTGGTGCAAGGATCCTTCACCATGAATATATTAGCAAAAAACTTGTGTAAACTATGTAGCAAGGATCCTTCACCATGAATACATAAAACCTGGTAATGTATACATAGTACAAATGGAACTTAGAATTGACTATGTAATTGTCAAGCAAGTGATGCTTACATCAGAGGTTTTCATTTGGGTCAAAGACCCACACGAGGAAGATCATTAAGTGTTAAAAGTTGTTTTATCTATATTATTAGCATACAATTCATAAGTAACAATCACAGTGAAAAACACATTAATCATTTCACCTTCTTGTCCATTCTTACAGCATTGCTTGTGCCTAGTACTTGGCTCATTTTGAACATCAAACAATTAAAGTTTGACGAATAGCACTAGGATTTACCAAAATGACTGACTGGGGAGAATACATCACCTATAAATTTATGCAAAAGATCAATTCTAATGTGACTTATTTAATAAATCATGCAAAACACGAGAATCTGATGTTGAACCCTCCCAACCAAGTAGCACAGATAAGAGGTCGGATTATAAAAGGTCTCAGGTCTAAGACTGGGTTACAACTTATCAATAAAAAAACAAAAAACAAAACAAAAAACAAAAACAAAAAAAAAAAACAAAAAGGAGGAGGAAGAAGAAGGGGCATTGCTGATAAGTCTGAATTTTAAAACATCGATTACTCAGACAGACCTGTGTTTCAAGCTTTTCGAGTTCAGTCACCATAGTTGCCCCATCAGCATCGAGCATCAAAAGGAGTTCACCACGTGAATGAAGCATTCCCTGTTTAACAATTTTTTCGCAAAATTAAGAAGCATTGGTCAATCAGTGCTGAAAATAAATTCAATGTCCACCCAACTAGCAAAACCAGTAGTATATAAACATTATCTACACATTTATAATAGCTCCCAAATAAATATACACTCAAGTACTCAACACCAATGTCAGTCTTCAGGAAAAAATATATAGAAGGCTAGAAGACGTACTTTTCTTATCGCTTCTCCTTGTCCGTGATTTCTTCCCAGCAGCATGACCCTTACATTATCAATCTTGTACTTCCTAACAAAGTTAAAAGCTACCTTTGATGTCCTATCCTTACTTCCATCATCAACTATCAACACCTGTATTAGAGACATAATACATATAATATATCAGAAGGTTTTCAGGAAACCTTAAAAGCGGTAATAATATTCTACACTGAACAAGGCAGTGTCGTAACTATGAAGTGTGACACTAAAAAGTAATAAACAATTACTCACGTTTCACAAGTAATCAAGTAAAAACAAACTATTCATGGTTCTTCGAGTAACTGATAGCATGACTAAGCCTTGCACAACAAGTTCAGTGTGTATGCATTTCACTAACATACTTATGCATGTGATATTATAGTTCAGATTAGCGAATAAATGTGTTCTGTGCATGTGATATTTGAGTATCTACAAGTGTTGCACAAAATCATACCTCATAAGTAAATGTGTTATCGGCAGCTGAGCGTCGTTGGAGATACCTGCAAAGAAGTAATTAACAATTGTATAAAATAAATAACCTCAAAATGATGTAATATTAGATTACCATCATAAACAAATACTGGAAAGCGTTTGCTACAAATGTTAATGCACGTACTAGTTCATACATGTTCGTATCTTAGCGCAAAGGTTGCACTAACTGTTTGTAATTAAGGCTGCAGTCTAATAGGAAGAGAATTAACATAGAGTCTAAAGTTACAATTTTGATTGTCAAAGGAACAGAAAATGTAAAATAGCCATTGCCTTACAGAAGTCAAAATGAACAAAAGGGGCTCCCACGGAAAAGTTAGCATAGTTTGCAACTGATAAAAGCACCTACGAAACTAGAAGGAATAACGATAGAACACTAAAAACGAATAATTACCCATTTGTGAAAGTATTCATTTATGTTATTTTGCACAAAGAAGAGATTTGATCTTGAGCATTCTCTTAGCTAGAGGGTAATGTTTTTCTGGCTACTTGTTTCAATTGTTCTTTTTGTACTCGATCATATTCTCATAATAGCAGCATTAAAGGTGTATTGTAGCCATCATGCAACAAAAGCACCTACATTTAATGATTTATACTTTCCAATGAGCTATCTGTAATTGTGGTGTTGACAAATGTACACTAGGAATTTATGAAATCTTTGACCCAATCATGCAACAAAAGCACCTACATTTAATGATTTATACTTTACACAAACATAGATCTCATGTGATGCATGCGAGTGTCTGTTCGTTAACACTAGTTTTGTGGCGTGAACTTAAGGGTTTCAAAAAAGTATTTACAGAAGCATGACTCGCACGTTGAAGGTAAGGTTCTCAAGTTCCATCCTTATATTGATCAATGGTTTAATGTAACTTATCAGAAATTCTGGCACTATAAAACAAGCCCCTTGGAAGTGTTGACACCAAATAGGACAAATGACACATTATGCTCAATCTCATATAATAGCCACCTGATTTCAGACTTCCAGCCACTTGATGACTTACTTTTTCTAATGCTTCTTCATTATGCTGGTATATGAGCAAGCGAGGCAAATCATTCACATGCATAGAAGACCGCAAAGCAAAATGATATGCTGGTATATAAAGTCAAGTTTATGTCCTTTAAGTGTTTTTATATTACAACACATCCTTATTCTAACAAGGGAAATAGCTTTCTATATGTTTTATAATTTGTTGTATTTATTCATATCAAAATACTCGAGTTCCTCCCAACATATACCTCATTATATGGATATTTAATACTAGAATAAAAACTATATGATAATCTAAATAGTATATTCAACCAGAAAATATAGAAGCAAATGCATTATGATTCTCATAACATTCAGAGCTTGAACGAAGACATTCATCTCCATGTTCTAATAATGCAAAAACACTCTTCAGAAACACATTTAGATCGAGTAAAATGCCAAAACAACAAGACACTCACTTCTCATACTTAAAGAATAAAAAGAATAAACATAAATTCTAGCAAGAAGAAAAGATACAAGTTACTAAAATGTTTACCTATCATTTAAGAATGCGATACTCAGAAGTGTGGCAAACGGTTTTCAAAAATTTTTGTCCTTAGAACGAATATAATCAATATAATCACAATGAAGTAATTTGTCCTGTATCTGCAAAAACAAAAGACAACATATATAGAATTCACTACCAATGCTAGAATTTCTTATTATTTGAAAGATGCTTTCCTTGTTAACTTGAAGTTCGAAAAGTTTCATAACTATTTCACTAGTAGCAAGAGAAAAACAACATATCTTGAAACATACCTTTGAGATGAGAGAATCACTCCTTGCTCGAATTAGCTATTAAGAATCCATCAAAATCATCAAACCCTAATACATTCATAATGAAATCATCAAAAAATTAGAAATAATCGGTTAAAAATATTGTTCGGATAACATAAATCACCATGAATGGACGTCACATTGAGAGTATTAGCTCTGATCTAGGGTTTTAGCCGCGAAGATCACGGACCTAAACCCTAGGTCAGATTTAGGGTTTCGATGGAAGAGACGAGAGCATTTAGTGCTACAACTCTATCAGTCAGCTATTGAACTCAAAATTACACAAAAGAGAACACTTTTCGATCGGATCTAGTGTGGTGAAGTGTCACCTGGCCGAAAGCGGCGGAGACGACGTCGAAACCCTCGCCGGAGCTGAGATCGACGGTGAGGGGGAGAGCGGGGGCGACGACGGCGATGAGATCCTGAGGAGGGAATAAACGGTGGTGAGTGAATACGATGACGAGAGAGAAGAAGGGGAGAGAGGAGAGATAGAGGTTAGAGAGAACTTAAGAGTCGGGATCGGGACTGAGAAATGAGAGAGAGGAGGAGTTCGGTTGGGATTTGGCAAATTCCTAGCTGCAGGGTGGGATTTGAAATATGCGTATTTGGGCTTCTAAATTCTCCTCTTCAAAATAAGTTGATTTCAAATCTCAGCCCAATTTAGAGCCCAAACAAGATATTTGGATTTGAAATACCTTGCATTTTAAATTCAGGGCCCAAATCCAAGTTCCCAAACGCAGCCTAAATCTTTTTGATAAATTAGCCCGGAATCGAGCCCACGGCCGTGACAGTCATATTAAAGTGGGATTTCATTAAATTCGTCTAATAAATCTCGTTCTTTCGTTAGATTTTACATGCTGACTCCTTTATTAACATAAGTTCCGCACAAAACCTGTCATTCAACTGTTAATTTATGGAGAAAACGTATCTAGAATCAGATAAGTCAATAAGTCTACATTCAAAGGTTAATTAGCACTTAAATACCTTATACTTTCTCCCTACTTTGTACTTATATACCCTCACTTATTTTGGGGAGCACTTATACACCCTAATAGATTTTAAATTTAGGAAAATTGTGTCAAGGCCCTAATTTTAAGAACCCCATGTGATCAATCCTTTAACTTTTATCCTATGTGTTTCAACCCTGAAAAAAAAGAGTGATTCAGCCATTATTCCCTGCCAACTAAACATAGAGAGAGAAATAAAAATAAAAATAAAAATCCTAAATGCTATTGTTTCCTTCTCTCTCTCTCTCTTCTCTCCAGATCTAATCTCCATGGCTCCTCCTTCCTTCTCTCCTCTCCTCTCTTCCTATCTCCTAACCCATCTCATTCTTTCTCTCTCCCTCTTTCTCCTTTTTCTCTCAGACACGACATTCTCCTCCGCCACTATCTACTTTGGGTGCACACTCTGGCCATGTTGTCTACTTCTTCGGCCTCGCCCCCGCCACCACCAACCTCGAGCACACACTCCTTCCTCCTCTCTCTTCTCTCTAGATCTAATCTCCATATCTCCTCCTTCCTCCTCTCCTCTCCTCTCCTCCTCTCTCCTAACTCATCTCCTTCCTTCTCTCTCCCTCTTCCTCCTTTTTCTCTCAGACGCCAACATCCCCCTCCACCACCATCGACTTTGGATGCACGCTCCAGCCATGTTGTCTCCTTCTTTAGCCTTGCCCTTCGCCACCTTGGGTGCAAGTTCCACAAGACCTCTAAGCTATCAATTTTTTTAAAGAAATTTATAAGTTATTTTTGAACATTATGAAATGATGAAAATTTAAAGAAATACTGGCTAAGTATGATTTTTGTATGAAATTTTTTGATATTAAGTTCAAGTCCGAGGTGGAATGTTAAGTCTAATGAGTTGTAAATGAAGTCCTAGGGCTTGTATGTTAAGTCTATTCGATTAAATAATAAGTCCAAAGGCTTGTATGTTAACTCTATTGGATTATATAATAAGTCTAAAGGTGGAATGTTAAGTGTAACAGATTATATGTTAAGTTTAATTTATTGAATATTAATTGTTACATGTTGAGTTTAATGCATTGTACGTTAAGTCTAATGAGCATCATGTTAATTCTAATAAGAGGAATATCAAGTCAAATAAGTTGAATGTTAAGTCTAATTAGAGGAATGTCAAGTCTAATAAGTTGAATGTTAAGTCTAATCGAAAGATTATCAAGTCAAATTTATTAAATGTTAAGTCTCATTTGTTAACTTAAATCAGTTATGTTAAGTCTATTGGGTTGAATAATAAGTCCAATGGCTTGTATGTTAAGTCTACTGGGTTAAATAATAAGTCTAAATATGGAATGTTAAGTGTAATGGATTTATATGTTAAGTCTAGTTTGTTGAATATTAAATATAATTTGTCACATGTTAAGTCTAATGCGGTTGAATGTTTAAGTGTATAGAGTTGAATATTAAGTCTATTTCTTGCCAACAAAGCACAGAGAGAGGAAAAAAAAACTCAAAATGCCCTTATTAGAATTAACATCACACCAATTAGACTTAACATACAACACATTAGATACAACACATTAGACTTAACATTAACAAATGAGACTTAATATATAATCCATTATACTCAACGTTTTACATTTAGACTTATTATTCAACCCAATCAACTTAACATATAAGTCATTGGACTTATTATTCAACCCAATAGACTTAACATCAAACCAATTTGAGTTAACAAACCAAACTTAACATTCAATAGATTAGACTTGACAATCTTCCGATTATACTTAAAAATGCCCTTATTAGACTTGACATTCATCTAATTAGAATAACATTCAATAGATTAGACTTGACATTCCTCTCACTAGAATTAACATGAGAAAGTATAGACTTAATATTATTTTCATCACAAATAACATGCTTTTCATTAGATAAAAAATATCTTCCAATTAGGTTTAATATTTAACTGATTAGACTTAATATTCACCTTTATAGACTTAACATTCAACCAATTAGAATTAACGCCATGCCAACTAGACTTAACGTACATCACATTAAAATTAATATGTAACAAATTACACTTTATAGTTACCAAATTAGACTTAACATATAATCTGTTACACTTAACATTTCACCTTTAGGCCTATTATTCAACCTAACAGACTTAACATACAAGCCATTGAACTTTACTTTCAACTTTATAGACTTAACATTCAATTAATTAGAATTAAGATCACGCCGATTAGACTCGATATACAATGCATTAGACTTAATATGTAATACATTACACTTAACATTTAATAAATTAGACTTAACATATAATCCATAACACTTAACATTCCACCTTTAGACTTATTATTTAACCTAATAGAGTTGGCATGCAAGCCCTTGGACTTATTATTCAACCTAATAAACTTAACGTACAAACCCTTGGACTTCACTTCCAACTCATTAGACTTAACATTCCACATTGGAATTACCTTAACATCAAAAATTGTTAAGCAAAAATCACATTTAGCCGGTATTTCTTTAGATTTTCATCTTTTCACGATGTTCAAAAAGAAATTATAAATTTCATTGAAAAAACTGGTAGCTTATAAGTATTGTGAAACTTGCACCCAAGGTAGTGGAGGGCGAGGCCAAAGAAGAAGACAATATGGCCAGAGCGTGCACCCAAAGTTGGTGGCGACGGAGGGGGATGTCAGTGTTTGAGAGAAAAGGAGGAAGAGGGAGAGAGGAGGAAGGAAATGAGTTGGAGAGAGGAGAAGAGGAGAGGAGAGGAGGAATGAGGGTGCGCTCTAGGTTGGTGGTTGTTTGTCGGAAAAATTTGAAGAAATTTGAGAGGAAATGTTATTAATTCTCCCTTATTGACTTAGGAAATAATGAATACAATCTCTTATAGTAATCTTTCTCTAATTGACTTAGAAAAAATTATAATTTCTCTTATCAGTTTTTTGATTTATAAAAGAGAGAAGGAATCGACGGAGATCCTTCCATTTGTTTAAAACTAGGTCCTTCTTGGTGTCGATGGGAGTTTGATTCTTGTATCCCGTTGACGATCCGAGCACGCAGTCTTATAAAACTTTGTCTATTCCTCTTGACTCAACATCGAGAAGAACTTGTGAGACAAGTTTTAAACTCTAACCGAGTTTGGAAGAACTTGCAATGCAAGTTTTGAAACTCTAAACGAGTTGACAAGAACTTGCGGGACAAGTTTAAACTCGTAACGAGTTATGAACTCTAAGAAAGAGTTAATTTCAGAGAGGAAATGAAATTTTTTTAGCCAAAGAACCAATCTCAAGAATGATAATCCGAAATGGTTCAAAAAACCAAGCCAAAAGCTCCACCAAAAGCTCTCTCAAAAGCCAAAATTAAGCTCCAACCAAGTTAACTCAAGCTAACCCTGTTTTAGTTGTAAACAGAGCTATTTATAAAGTTAAAAGGGTATAACTGACCCCTTAAATCGCTCCATAATGGGGGTTTAATACCCTCATTACATGCAAAACGGTTTTGGAACAGTTTAAAACGTGTTTTAATTGTTCAAACGCGAGATTCATGTTTAGGAGTGAGCCCCGTGTTTAGCTTTAGAAACGCAGAGGTGAACTTCGCGTTTAGAACCTGAAAGTGAGCTCCGTGTTTGGGCTTGGAATGCAGGGGTGAGCCTCGCGTTTTAAGATTAAAACACGAGGGTGAGCTCTGCGTTTTGATTTAAAAAAATCTTTAATTTGTAATCTCTAGCAAAGATTGTCATCTTGTAATCCTTATATTTGGCTCTTTGAAATGTGAGAATCGTCAATTTGTAATTCCCATATATCGTCGTGAAAGTCGTCAAATTATAACTTTTATCGGTTGTTGCGAAAGTTGTCAGATTGTAACCTTCATAAGTTGATGTGGAAATCATCAGATTGTAATTTTTATCGTCAGCGTTTTCTTTATTTTGAATTTCTCTTTCACAATCTGCTTGACAAACGCAGTAGGAAACACCAGTCTCTTCGAGAAACCAGACAAGAGAGGCTTGGAGAAATGAAGATTCTAAAACTCACCATCTTTCTTTTCCATCTTTACAATGATATGGAGTAGAGAATTAGAAATATTGCTAGTCAGTGTTTTGTGAGGAGCAGCTATCCACAGTAATTTTTAGACAGCCTACAATGGTGGCGGAGGGCAATGCCGAAGAAGGAGTCAACATGGCCGGAACGTGCACCCAAAGTCGGTGGTGGCGCAGGGGGATGTCGGTGTCAGAGAGAAAACGGAGGAAGAGGGAGATAGGAGGAAGGAGATGAGTTAAAGAGAGAGGAGGAAATAAGGGCATCTTAGGATTTTTTTTTCTCTCTATGCTTAGTTGACAGGGAATAATGGCTGAATCACATTTTTTTTTGGGTTTTGGGGGTTGAAACATATGCGAATAAGGTTGAAGGTGCTGGTCACGTGAGGTTCTTAAAATTAGAGCATTGACACAATTTCCCTTTAAATTTTGTACTTTAATACTGTGTTAAGAAAGCATGAGAATATTCCTCTGGAAATTGTCATGTGACGCTCACTTACCCATTTTAGAACTTTTTAACTTTAAATTTTGTTAAATATACTTTTGGATCTATAAAATTGAAAAAAGTTAAAGAGTCAAATTATAAGATTAGCATGTAAGTGTCTCTAAGAAGTTCTCAGGAAAGTATTCTCACATTTACATAAGGTATTATGTGCAAATTTAAAAAACTTCAAGATACGTAAGCATTGTACAAAACAAGTGAGAGTATGCAAAGTAGGAAAAAACTATATGATATTTAAGTGCTAATTAGCCTTTAAAAATCTTCTGTAAAAAAGTAACAAATTTATTCTTATGTTCTTACTCATGTGTTTTTACCCCCGAAAAGTTACTTAGGAGTTGTTGACCGCTGCTTTTCCCAGATTCAGTCATCACTCATCATTCGTCGGGTGATGTCTTTCTTTTTCTTTTCCCCCATATATATATTCTTAAAAAACATACTGACAATTAAAATTGGAACAATTTTTCAAAACCTGCTGATTTTTTTTTTTCAAAATCGACTGTTTTTTTTTATTTATCAAAATCGACCCGGTTTTGTGATTAGCAGGCTAATCACTATCCTAAATAGTCGGGGTTGGCAACCCCGACTATTTAGGATAGTGATTAACCTGCTAATCACCCTTTAATTAGGGTTTAACACCCTCCTAAATAGTCGGGGTTGGCAACCCCGACTATTTAGGATAGTGATTAACCTGCTAATCACCCTTTAATTAGGGTTTAACACCCTCCTAAATAGTCGGGGTTGGCAACCCCGACTATTTAGGATAGTGATTAACCTGCTAATCACCCTTTAATTAGGGTTTAACACCCTCCTAAATAGTCGGGGTTGGCAACCCCGACTATTTAGGATAGTGATTAACCTGCTAATCACCCTTTAATTAGGGTTTAACACCCTCCTAAATAGTCGGGGTTGGCA